AAAAAAAAGATCGTAAGCTCGAATAGTCTCTAACGGCACATACCAACACTATACAAACAATGCTGCAAAATATTTCCAACATAAACACAAACAATTGAAGATTACACAAAACGCTACTAAAATATTCAACGAAACATAATATTTCATGTATATCAACATTCATAAATTCGGATTTACATCTAGAAACGTCTAACTCGAAAGAGACCCTTCTCGGTCTCGAAATGACAACTGATCGACCTTGGAAAGGAGTTTTGTTGTTTCGTAAAATTTATGAGGATACATTCATCGTTCTCAGCAGAAATCTAACTGGTTCCAAAAATACCAAGTAATCGTTCGAAAAGCATACGATTTTAACGAATGGCTAGAAATGTGGGAAATTTGGACGAACTCAATCAAGTTGATGTGAGATGTCGGACACTGAATTTCCTTAACGATATACTTAAATCATACCACTGTTCATAACACGAACACTGAACTTGATGGTTCTCCCATACTGCTTTTAAAGTGATACATTTAATCAATTGAGCACCCGACCAATTGTCAAAAATGAAAAATATTTTCCAAAGAATAATGTATCATCGTAAGTCGTGGGATAATTAGAATTTCTTTTGTGCCGACGTTATTTGCCGAAACGTCGCTTGTCAAAAAAAATTGTTATTAAAATGTAAAAAAGTGGAACATGCACACAGACTGATTGATGAACTGACTACGGAATACCGAACAAGACAATATAAACGGAGATTAGAAACCTATTAGTAGCACTGTTGATGTCAAGAGATGATTCTTGATTTTGTCAAATAGATGCTGATTTTAGCAATATAAATTAACAATGAAACATACATTTGATTGCCGAATATTTCTGATTTGTTTTTTCTTTCGAACAGAAATACAAATGGTATTTAATTGCAACCATCACTAAAATAAATGCTCAAACATAACACTGTCATTACATTCATCTTCTCAGCAATAACGAATTACATCAAAATCAAATACTAAGATAAAGAAATAAAATTACACGACCACATACCCTGTGTTTACACGATAAATTACTACAGTTATTTCAAACAATTAAAACATTTTCAAGAATACAAAAGCAAAACAGTTCGTGTTAGATGATGACCAAATAAATGAGTATTTGGTGAGGACATGGGTCCTTTTGAAGGATAGCTTCGAAAAATGAACTCAGGAGAGAACACCTATTGAACTGAATTGTCGGAGTAGAAGAGAAATACTACCTTCTTTCACTTGCCCCAGAATAATCAAGAAAACTCAACTTCGATTTATAAATAAATCAACGGAAGGAAGTGGTAACTGAATGAACTAGAACAACACATATATTATGCTCAAAACAACTGTAAATACGGACAGTCGAAGAAAAAGTGATAAAATACAATGTGCACGAACAGATATATACAACCTGCTCCATCATCAGGAAAAACTCAAGTAATATCGCCTCCTCTGAGAAGATAGTTTTAAGGAAGCCAAAAGACGTCCTCTTCAAAAAAAGGCCTCAAAACAAACGAAACAGATTACCATCGAAGGTGAACTTGCTCACTCAGTATAAAATCTGTTCCTCTTACAATTAGCCCTTTCAAGAGTTAATCCTGATTATGATGCAGGATAAAACAACACAAAAGGTTACAGAGATAGTTGAGAGTGAGAGATCTGGATCAGTCCAGCTGAACGCTAAACTTTTTCAGGCAACATCGGTGCATTGTATCCTTGACAATGCCTAAGGGCCTTGTTGTAAAGATATGGAGTAGCGCATTCACTTCGTGCGTAAATCATATCGGCCGGTTGATACTTATGACGGCTCATTGTTTGATCTTTCAAACAGCACAACGCACGTTTCCAACTCTGAAACACATTCCCTTACCTATTTTCAACTCTTCATTCATAAACTATCACTCGCCAAAATCTACATTTCTCCTAAATCCAAATCGCTTTCCACTTACATCAGCAGTTCTCAATGTTTTGTAACGCCCCGTACCAGTAAAAAATTTTACAATGTTCTTTCACCTTTACATCCCTCACAGTATTTTAGTTTAGTCAAGAATAAAGGTAAAGATGACCGGAATGATAAATATTGAAACGTTTTCTCGCACCACTTTGAAAACTACCTCAAATCCCTGATCGAGAACTACTAATTTAGATCATTACAGCAACAACAATACTGCAAATTTCAGTAGATACTGGAAGAACTGATCGATGAATGCAGCTGGATAATGCCCTATAATTCATTTCCAAGAGTGAACGCAAGAATCGTACCTGGATTGTTTTTCCAGAAATTATCCAAACGCCTGAGGTCCATCCAACGACTAGCATCGATGCAGTTTTGATCAGTGTCAAAAGTGTTGACGTATCAGCTAAATGACACAAAACAGTTTGGGAATTTCAATCTTGCACGAAAAACTTCCTCATATTCTATACTCTCACAAAACTTCTATTCACCGTTCCAATCAACACTCATTAGACACTTACAACTCTCATCTTCAGTGATGAAAGCGCCGGTTCACTGTTTACCCATTGACAATGGCGTAAGGCATTGAGCAACTGGCAAAACACTTTGAAACTGAACAACGGAGAATAGTGAAAAGAAGAGTGAATCGTGTGAAAATTCTTAAGAACCGTTAGATAAAAAATACAATTCAATAATGCAAGTAAGTCTAACGTTGTTGTTGAATTGGTGTTGCACACGTGCACAGCTGTGCCTGCTCCCATAGCGGACGATAGTGCTGCTCGTAGACGAGAACGATCAACACGAATACGGCCGGTACTATGTAAAGAACCGAGAAGATGCCAATTTTTGACATCAACTGAGTCATTTTTGCGGTATTGTCAGCACCCGGATGATGTTTTTGCATCAGCGAACGAATTCGCCATAGATTAAAGAAACCAACACCCAGAAAGCAAACGCCTGCCACAAAGTAGACGACCAGCGGAGCTGAAATACCGTACGCTTCATTGAAATGTTGATGAATCGAATGGTAAAATGTAGCAATCGGCTAAAATAGCACACTGTCTTCGCTCTTTCCACTGTCACTCAAATGTATTTCATGCATTCAGTAGGCCAGAATCACAGCAGTCATCAACGTCTAAATTTAACAGTGAAGCAAGAGCTGCTTGAAGTCTGAGTTTGAGATGGTAGCATTGTTGCAAAACATCTACGGTCTGATCCGATCCAAGTTTGGAGAGGAGAACAGAAAACATGCTAAACAAGTAATGGAACGAGATGATGAACGAACCAAAGACAAAAGTCCTCAAATATGCCACGTTCGTATTACCCACATAACATATACCACTCATCGGATCACCGTCCACCGCACCGAATAAAATAACCGCCCCAGTTTGTACAGCCGGTAAACTCCACGCGATGAAATGAAAATAGTGTGCGTAACTTGCGATCGCTTCATTCGACCACTTACTTGCAGCAGCCAACACCCACGTTAGCGACAAGATCACCCACCATACAGATCCAGCCATACCGAAGAAATACACCAATATGAAAACCTGGAAAGCAAACGTGAATCGCCTGGTCTTCAACACTTACTAAGATGATTGATTCCATTTTTGCTTTCAAACGTTTTACGCCAGTGGTAACTCTTTGTAATCGGCGGTACCGATAGATCACTTGAAGACGAATAATTCAACTTGATTTCAATGAATTTCCTTCGAACTATTCCATTGCCTTACATCAGAATGTGGCCACTATATATAACAGTTACTCGAGTGATTTGTTTGTCTGTTGATTTGAATAATACTGAAGAGACAATAAGAATAGCAATGATAAGATACCGTTTGACAAACGTTAATGCTTTGGTCACTCGACCGAATCGTCCATGAATCACATGCTACATATTCGTGTCCATAGAAGACTCGAATAATGAACCCAATTGAAACCATCATCTGACAAAATGCCAGCAAGAATATCGGGCGTTCCGGATATTGAAATCGCTCGGTTTCGATCAGAAACGTTAGCACCGTAAACGCTGAGAGAAAGAAACATGTACCGGACCTGAAAATGGGTTTATTTGAAAGCATACGACGAATTACCGAAATGTGTATTTAACTCCGTCAAGCCCGAACATACTGCATGAAAATACACGAGTTTTATCTGAAATACTACTCTACTACTGAAGACTTGTTCGAGAATGATAACGGTTGACAGATATAACACATTCTATTGACTCTTTCTAACAATAAGCTTTTAGGTTGATTCACACAGACAATAACTGCTATTACTGAAGATGAATGAATGATGATAAATTAATTTAAACAGTACCATACGGCAATCCAGGCGGTCAGAAATTTTTGATCCTGCGTATCATGTGTGGAGCTGTGACAAGGATACGCACATCCGGAAACATTGGCGACCATTTGGCTCGGATCTGATACGGTATGAAATGGACGTACACATCGACATTTACAGTACTCATCAACACTGCCGATGCGAATTACCGTATCGATTGGGTAACCTTCCTCTTGTGAGATCGACGGAATCTAGAGATGAGAATTTTGAAGATTAGGTTGCCAATCAAGAGAAAAAGACTGAAGCTGAAGACTTTTTTAGCATACATGGATGGTCGCATGGATAATGCGTGATTATTGACGCCAAAAGAAATGGAACAGAGCGTTCTGAATGCAATTACTGATTGTTTTGCAGACAGTGAATGATGTTAGACTAACGTTTTCGAAGACAGCCGGGTCGGGTGTGTCAGGAGGTGCAGCGCAGATGTTACCAGTGGTTTGTTGTTCACTCATGCGAGGCAACTGCTCACAGCTCAACGTTTCAGGCCATTTGAAACCGTATTTTTGCATCAACGGACTACAACGCTTCTTCGCTTCCAAGCAAACCGGAAATTAAATTTTCGTAAACTTCCGAACGGAATTTTAAATTCAGTAAAGACGAATCAATATCAGATTGTACAGAATATAAAAACTGATATATGGGTAGTTATAGATGACAAATGAAACTGTGATTTTATATCGGGAATTCCACGTCAAATGGCTTCACATGTTCTCAAAAACCTATGCCAGCAACGAAGATCTAGCATGGTCTGAATGAGTGCATTCAACACAGTTTAGATCTATCCATTCAAAATTCAGTTACAGTTTTTTGACGAATGCTGTGAAGAAAGGCGACAAGAAAAACGAGTATCCAAGATCATATCGCAATAAACAGATTTTAACTAACTTCCATACAAGGCATCACCATTTTGTCGTAATTATCTTGACATATTGGCGTGTACATGGCACACAGGAAGAACTTCAGATGATTGTAACATCCAACCTAGAAATTGATCACTTTTACAGTAGAGCAAGAGAAGAGAGGAGAACAGATAGGGCATCAAAAATTCAAAGAATGTTTTCTGTCCTTTCAAAAGGATGAAATTCAAGATGCGAAAGGTTCGCAAATCAAACAGATGAGATGCGCCTTTGATATGGTTGAAACTCGATACAGTCCGAAAAAATGTCCATTGTACCTATACCAACTGTTCCGTAAACCGTATTTTCAGACAGAATCGTGCAGATTCAAGTGATCAGAAAAGACAATGCAAAATCATTCCGGCACTAGAGGGTAATCGGTTGATATGATAATTTCTATAACGTTTCGATTGCACAAATGGGAAAATTCTTGCGACAAAATTCCTCTTTTGTTTCATAGATGTTATTGAAATATTCATCTACTCCTAAAATCTTCACAGATTTATTCACTCTTACGGTAGGAGAGAAGTTAGCGAGCTGAAGGATTACAACGAAAGCGATTTTCAGTGGTTTCGACAGAAACCGTCCGATAACACACAGTCTAAACATTTGACAATTAAACAATTTTATCTATACAGTATTCCGACTATTCGTAGAGTACCATGCAAGGTATGCAGCACCATACGGATAGGGTATATCCTGATACCGTATCGAGCTATTCAATGATGACTGCCGCACTCTTGAATCTATTCAAGACAAGGCGATAGTTCAGAGTTGGCATTTGGATTCATACTCAGTTAATTGCGATATATATATATATATATATATATATATATATATATATATATCAAATTCAAACTTGACAGTTTCGAGTTATGTACCTCAACAAGCGGGTAGAACTGATGAACTTCAAGTCCAGCCTCTTCCTGTTTTTCATGTCCATAACTGTTCGGGAATCTTGTCATATTGTAACCAATTCCTGAATTCATCCAATAATTCATCAGTTTTTTTTTCGAAATGAAACTAATCCATTTCTTCCGAAGAACACTGAATTTTCAGTTGTGAAGAACGGTATTTTGTCAATATGATTAATAGTCGTTAATGCGTTGATTCAAAGAAACTTGGAAATGACCGAATATGTTCAGTGAAGCAATGAAAAATGGACCGAATCGGGCAAAAGCAAACCTTTGCAAAGTGGAATCGTAATCGGTTGACATTTTTGTGCAGGCACTGACTCACAAATGATCAAAATCAGCAGTGAAACAATACCAAAATTCATCGTTGAAACCATTGAAAATGCACTCGAAATCCAGTCAATTTACTGCGCTCAACAGCAACCAATAATATCTCGTCTCTGCGGGAGTTAACAGTTCGGTGGCCAGATATCTACTGCTCAGAATACTTCCAATACAATAAACTGACTGGATCTGGCGACTGGATGAGGCAAGAGTGTGTTCGCTGTTCAGCTCTAACGAAGGAGGGTTCAGATTTCGTTGGGTGTGATTTTCGCTTGGTTGCTGTACTACTTGTTGAGTGTATCTGCTGTTTAGTGTTGCTTCAGCTAGACAAGAAACATTGGATCAGATTTTCTTCATCCGCATACGATAAAGCAACCGCTAACACAATGAAGCAGATTTCCGTCGAACAGATTCAACAGCTCTCAGTAAATCCGGCTTAAGCTTGATCCTTAAACCCTGTGCTATTGTTATCTGCTCTATTGTCCGATTATCAAGGCGGCAGACAGGCACTTCACAGTCTCGAAGGTTCACTTTCAACTGAACGAGTTGAATATGAGGGAGTATGATATGATTTGATCGACTGTCGGTGGAATGAATATGATTACAGTCGTTGTTGTTGTATTGGTATTGTTACGATAATTGTTTTGAAGACTTCGAATGTCTTCGTGACCTCCAACGAATATACTTTATCACACTGAAATTTGAACAAACTTCTTAAGATTTGAAATTGTCTTACATATGCGAAGAGAGAATAACGAATTTTATGCGTAAAAATGTACGAGCGAGTACACAAGCATCGACAAATCTTATATCGGTCACCGTATCGGATTACGTACTTCGCCTTTACTGATTATGCGATCTCATTCACATTTTTCCTCCTTTCACTTGTTCCATTCTTTTTTGCTCACTTTCATTTATCCATTCGCTGAGTTCAATCATTAGGTTAAATTAAATGATCGAACAGATCAAATATGCTTATGTCAATGACTTCATTCTCATATGCGTTCACGAACTTCTATGCATTATAGAGCATTAATGCTTTCTATGAATCTAGCGATGAGTGAATAAGGATGTGAGTGATGATAATAAAGATAATTATTATAAGAAACAATACCATACAAACGACTGATTCATAAAATACCACATTATATGATAATACTTATTATCGTATTCGTATATCAACAACAATAACTTCAACTGTTGAATATCTCCCAATTCAAAAATCCATCACTACCACCACTGAGCATTAGCATTACAATCATTGCGAATAAACACTAGTGATTAACAGAATGAGAATGCAATATATAAATACATAAATCTATCAACAGCCAACCGTAATGTTTACAGAACACCAGCTAGCAGTTACTCAGCACAAAAACATCAGCTTACAATAAATAACTCATCATAACGCATGCCATTTTTCGTGCATTTTTTTGTTTGGGAAGCTGAAACGTTCATTCATTTATGAAAACGGAAAGAATGTTTATAAGGAACGAAAAAAAACATCAGTGAAGCTTTATAAGTGCTCGTTAGCATCGTCAAATAAATCATCGAATCATAAACATAGAACAAAAATGTTTCTCGAACGGATTTGTTAACACGAAATCGAAAAACAAAGATGAGAGGAAGCAAAAATATGAAATGTGCTGCAAGAAAATGACAATACGATGAAGAGGATCGCCGGTTGGTTTAGTGATTTGCTGCTGAAGATATGATGACGACGATTGTTCGGTATTAGTAGAAGTAAATGTAAACATATCAAATAACCACTTTTTACTCTCGTCTCGCCTTGTCAGAGAGTAAGCTTTCTGAGCTTATTGTAAACTTTAGCATTATATAGCAAGAAGGCGCTATCATAACGTTATGTTCGGATGTGTCATCAGCAAACATTTCATAATATACTACAGAATGTTGAACTGAAATTACACTGTTCATCCACTCAACTCAATCTCATCAAAAATTCTCAACATTCGCTTATTTCTCACTGAAATCTCGAACAAATTTTCAGCACTCAAACACAAAACTTCCCACACTCATTCATCGAAATTCCTTTGATTTCATATGTGAAAATATGAAAATTGAGAAGAACGATGCGGGAAAAATTATTATTATGATTTGTTGATTGTTATTGAGAGCACAATATGACTGAAAACTATTACATGTGAGATATTTGAGTCAACAAAACTTTGACTGACTGATGCATAAACTTGTCATGTTGAACGGTGACCAGTTGCTACTGTTTATCCTCGAGTATTACTCAAAGTAACCATAAGTATGAAAAATATCGTCAATTTATTACGTTCACTATTATTGGCATAACTACTATTATTATTGATAATAACATCATCGTTATTGTTATCAGCACTGATAAAGAATGCACTGGATGGAATCATATGAAATTGATGTAACTGAGAACCAACTGTAAGGTTTAGACTGCAAAAATTTGCTAAGAATAAGCAAAGCAACAACTTAACTAATCGTAAGTGTAAGGAAATTGAAGCGAGATGTGAATGTGAGACGATTATAAATTCAGTATACTGAAGAATGTCTAATATGTTTAGTGGGCATTTAGTTATGAAATGAGTTTGTTGGGATGATTACGACGATTTCTCGTATAACATTTATTCGACGAAATCAAATTACTCGGATTATGTCAATCACAGCACACATTAGTCACACGAGTGTTTATCTCTGAGCTTGATTATACGACTTTCATTCAATTATTCTCATAGACCAACTCAAATTCATACTAAGAATTAAGCATTAAGCATTTCTGAATGTATTTTCGCAGATTGCACTCGAACATTCACTCAGATTCAATAAATTCTCTCTTGAATACGTTTATTCATATCAAGATTCTTGTATTAGCACTCAAATAAAAGCGAAATGAATAAATGTTTATGGGAATGAATGCGCTTCGAGTATAATAAACAAATGGGAATTCGCTCAAATAAGCCGATGAGATAAATTGAAAGAAATCAAATCCAATAATGCGAAAAGACATTAATTAAAGTTTTTACGCATGGCGTTAAATTTTCTTATCGTATTCATTATTTGTTATGCAACCGATTGGATATCACTATTTATACTTGACTAGTCCACGGTAAATTGAGTTCACCTAAGAGCATCACCTCATATAAAGTGGATATAAAGAGATCTCTCATAAATGCGCACTTATCATCTCTTCCAAGAAGCGAAGGGTAGATTTATGAAACCTTAGAGCATTCACAAAATCAAATAGCATCTGAAGAATTCAGGAAAGTTCTTACACAACTGACTACAAATGGAAAGTCGAGTGAACGAATGAGTAGAGCTGAGCGAATATATCTCTGGGTATTGGTTCCGGAAGGCAAAAGGCGTTAAATGCAGAGTAATTATGGTAATTATTATCTACGGATGAATGGGAAAGAAACTCAAACAGCCGGAGGTGTTTGACGGTACTTATGTATGTATTCCCTCTCAATAAGCATAATTCTAAAATCGATTTCGTACTTTTGCTGCGCGTTTCAAATAATAATTGTCTGAAAAGTACGCAAACACGGTAATATTTTCAGCCAATTCACACCCTTTCGAACGTTCCAATAATAATAATAATAATAATTTCGATGAAGAGTATTTCGCATGCAGCGATTAGTCGTTAAACAAATAAGTGTGAAATTTTATGCAGACTAACAAATAGTATAAACATGAATCACTGGGAACCAATGAAAACAGTTAGCTGATGTCAAATATTGCTATTGAAAATCAATCAAATGTACGTTCTCATAATGGAAAAGTATTTCGCGAATTCATCATCACAATCGCTCAAATGTTTGTCATAACTGCGTTATTCGCGCACGATGTATGCCCAATATGAGAAGTCATCACTTGAAATCGCATAAAAAACAATGAAAAGTGAACAAAAACTGTTCGTTTCTCGATAAATATTGCATGCATGTTGAAGTAATGGTGAGAAAGAATTGCAGGTAAGCCGAAACGAAAATATGATATGAAAGAAATGAATCGAAACGCACCAATTTGTGTATTTTGCGGTTTAGTCGAGAAACGTTACGTTAAATAAACATACTGTAAATGCAGTCAAAAATAATTTGCGTGCTGCTGCTGCTGGCTTAGGGATGGACGTAACCTGGCAAAGAACATATATAATCACGCTACAAAACAGAACTGATTGGCGAATGGAACAAAAGAAATACCTTAGAAGAGGTAGGGTCATGGCGTGCACGTTGCTGTGCGGATAGGAGAGGCACTCAAGGATGAAGATACAGAAGAAGGTGGATCTTGAGATACAACCAAGCACGCGACAACAGCAATACAATCCAAAATCTTATAGTAACGCCATCATCACCAACAACATTAAAAACAAATAATAACGACATACCTAATTACACGAATTACCACTCGACCGTACTCAAGACTTGTGTCTTCGACAAATATGACCGAGAGTGTGTTGTTGTTATTGGGTAAGAAGGCTGAAATCAACGAGGGCTGCGGAGATGACTACAGGGTTAGCCTCCTCTTTAAAGAGACCACAATGGGATGAATATGAGTGACGAGATCACAGAATGATAAAGAGAATATGATGAGATAGGAGGAGGATAAAGAAAAGCAAAGATTTGGGAGGATGGATTTGAGGGTTTTAGCAATGAATTGTTTGCTGGAGGGCAGTCCGGACCCTATTCAGCCAAAATAAACAAACTACCTATAGTAGGTGGTTGTTTGAGAACATATGAATGATCTGTTCAAGAGTATCTTCTTACGAAGAAACATTGACGATGAATGACTAATGAAGCATCCGACTGCAGTATTGTCAACTCTCTGAACAGGATCTATCGTGATGGATTTGTTTGAACCTTGAGGCTAAATTTTGATTGAAATTGAGCAATCTGATAGCGATAACGAGCAACAAAACAACGATACTTTGGATAAGTTGTCGCATAAAAGAGATAACTTTGATGTGTTCTACGACAGATATCAAATGAAAGTTAAGTGCAGATTGCCCAAACGTAACTTTTAATAACATCTTTTTGATTGTGATCTGGGTTGGGAAAAGGAG